GAAATTGGGTCATCTGTAGAGACATGGATGATCTAGAGACTGTCATACACAGTGAAGTTAAGTCAGAAAGAGAAAAACAAATATCGTATATTAACGCATATATATGGAACCTAGTAAAACGGTGCAGATGAACCGGTTTGCAGGGCAGCAATAGAGACACAGATGTAAAGAACAAACGTATGGACGCCAAGGGGGGAAAGTGGCGGGGGGTGGTGGTGGTGGTGGTGGTATGGATTAGGAGATTGGGATTGACATGTATGCACTGATGTGCATGAAACAGATGACTAATAAGAACCTGCTGTATAAAAAAATAAATTAAATAAAATTCAAAAAAAAAAAAGAGCATATTCCTTCTTTTTCTTTTCTTTCCTTGGGGGCAGGGAAAGGTGTGGCAGCATGCATGAATGGCAAGAGAATCTTCCAGAGCCTGGAGCCCTGGAAATCTGAGCTGGTGGGAAGGCAGTCTGGAGCCCACCATCTCCTGGGGCATACGGGGCCTGTGTGTCCAGCTCTCCTGGCTGCCTCCTCATAACCTGGAGAATCTAAGTTCTCCCCGGCTGAGGTCAGGAGGTCAGCCCAGCCCATAGCACATTTGATCTCCAGGAAGGTCTCTGTTCTCTGGAATTCTCTTCCCCCCAGAATCGCACAGGGCTGCTCTCTTAGATCTTCAAGGCTGCTGCCCCATGTCTTGAGATAAGAAGCAATAGTGAGGTACAGGGGCTCATGAGCCCCGGGGCAACCTGCCTTCAAAGCCTGGGATGGTGGCCGTTTAGGTCGTGCTGTCTCACGTGCCCTCAGGCCGGGCAGCGGCAGGAAGGCAGCCTGACGACAGGGTGCCACACATCCAGGGTGTATGTACCCACGCTGCGTCCCGAGCCCAGGCTGCCAGGGGACTGCTGCCGTCCTCTCTCCCTCTGGCCACCAGATCGTGCTGGGTCTCCCTTGCTCCGGGCTCCTGCTCTTTAGAGCAAAGCAGTAGAGGGGGACTCCCCTTCCCAGAAGCCAGTGGGTGGGCTTTGTTCTGCCCATCTCTGTCCAGAGCAAGGAAAGCACAGCTAGGAGACTCAACTACTGAAAATCAGTAGTTGACTTACCGTAACAGTTCTGACCCTGGGAAACCAAGCAGTGGGGAGCTGCCTGGGTTCAGATCTGCTGCTTACAAAGAGAGACACCTTTGGGCAAGGTGTTTAAACTCTTTGTGCCTGTTTTCTTATCTGTAAAATGGGGGTAATAAATGTTACCTACTCAGGTAGGTGTGTTTTCCTATGAAGCTTAGATGGATTAAGACACAAAAATTGGCACATAGCAAGTATTCATTAAATAATTATTTACCATCTCTGCTACCCATTTTCTGTTTGCTTCTGCTACAAAACTCTTCAAGCTATAGCGAGCAGCCCTTTTCACTGAATCGACCTACCCCTGGGAAGACTCTTTGGCACAAACGGGCAAAGACACAGGATTCTTGAGTGTGGCAAACAAATAGGGCAGGAGCTGGACTTGCCACAATGAGGAAAGATTTTTTAGTAAATATAGTTAAAGATTAAGGCATTATTTCTTGAGTAACAGCTCTTAAATCCAGTGGTCAATAAGTTAGCAAGTGGAACATCCACTGTCGAACATCATAAATTCCATGATTGTTGAATAATACGTATTGATGTGTCTCTAGTAAAATGACTCAGAAGTATGTTTGTATCTGCAGATGTAGAAATGCCATAAACTGGCAAGTGACTCCAATACTTTCCAACCTAATACTCTTAACTCAGTGGTTCCCAAACTTTAGCATCAAGTGGGAATGCAGACTCCCAGGCTCCACCCCCAAAAGTCTAATCAGAAGATTTGGGATGTGGATCAGAGGTCTGAGTTTTTAACCAGGCTTTCCAGGTGAGGGGTCCAAGGACTGTCCTCTGAGAAGCACTGCTAGGCAATAAATGCTCTAGGTCCCATCCAAGAATCAGGGAGCAGAGACTCAGATGAGTATGCGGCATCTAAGAGGCTTTGGAGAAAGGCACAGGGGTATATTACATGTAACAGGCTGGGGGATATTCTCTTCTGTTCAATGCATGGAAACGCGTGCTCAGGATTTGAGACCAGGGCAGAGCTGCCTTTACTACCCAGGTCTTCTGACATGAACACCACTTTTAGGATCAATGCCAGAAGGAAAACACTGATGTTATAAGAGTGGTTCTAGGGGCTTCCCTGGTGGCGCAATGGTTGAGAGTCCGCCTGCCGATGCAGGGGACACGGGTTCGTGCCCCGGTCCGGGAAGATCCCACATGCCGCGGAGCGGCTGGGCCCGTGAGCCATGGCCGCTGAGCCTGCGCGTTCGGAGCCTGCGCTCCGCAACGGGAGAGGCCGCAAGAGTGAGAGGCCCACGTACCACACACACACACACACACACACACACACACACACACACACACAAGTGGTTCTAGGGGACGAAGGGGTGTGGGAGAGTGAGCACAACGAATGCACAATCTCAATAGGATTGGGCACTTTCCTTTGCAGGGCCTTCCTCCTCCTTCTCTGAGCGTGCGCGTGCCTGTGCGTGCGCGTGCGCGTGTGTGCGTGCGTGTGTGTGTGCGCGCGCGCATGCATTGCCCTGGCTCCCAGCTCTGGGCCAAGTCCTGTATGTCTTGTGTGCATAAGGACCCATAAAGGCCAATGGGCTGGTTTAAATTTTTAGGCTCTGATCTTCTTAAACCAGGACGTGTGGAAAGGAAAGGGAGACAGACCCGAGCTTTAAGAAAACTTTGGCCTGGAATGTTCTGGTCAAAGTCCATGGACTCCTCTTCTGACTCCCAATCTGGGCCCTGGATTGCAGCAGAAAAGTGAGGCTAGAGGTTCTTTCCCAAGCTAGGATAGCACTTCCTCACTCACAGCCTTGAAAATCCTCATTTGTTTTATGTGAGGACGGAACAATGGGAAAATAACAAAATTCAAAGGAAACCGTGAACACAGCTCCCCACTGTGCCTGTGTACACTCTACCCAGAGTGCGGATGGGGGCGGGGGTCTCTTGACTGAGCCACCTGGGAGATCAGGTGCCACCATATTCCATCAGACAGAGGAAGGGAGGGTGGGGTCCAGGACACCTGGTAAGTCCCCTGGATCTTCAGCTGCAGTTTAAACATCTGGGTCTTCAACTCAAGGGACCCAACAAAGCTGTGACAGCTCAGCCATGCCACACGAAGTTCAACCAAAGTGGCTCCTGCTGCCAAGTATAAAATCCCATAGTGCAATCAGCAGGCAGGGACTGCCTGGCAATGCTGACAGGGTCACCTTGAATGGCGGGGCTGGGGTGGAGGGGGACCTGGTAAACAGGGTCCCTGTGGGAGACTTAGCAGCCCCATCCTGGCTTTTCCGGGGCCAGAGCGCGTCTTGCAAGAAAACGGTGTTTTCTGCCATTGTTCCCTCTCAGCGACACCAGGAGTACAAAGTCGCCCGGTCCTCCTCGCCCCGCCCATTCCCCCAGAGCCTCTCATTCAAAAGAACGGAAAACTGCCAAGGGCAGGACCTCCGACACCAGCTTCCGATGCCACGCAAGCTATTCTCCCCAGAAGCCTGGCGCCCCAGGGCCACGTGTCTGACCGCCTCGATTCTAAGGTTGAGCTTTGCTTCTAACGACGGGCTTTGCTCAAACGAGGGGAAAGGATGCCGCGAGCCATGTTTTAAATTATTGGTTGCCAAGGAAGAGCCGACGCCAGTAACGCACAGGATTTAAGGGGGAACCCAAGGAAGGCAAACTGGAGTTCTCGGGGGTGAGAGGCGGGGAAGGCGTGCTTTCTCAGAGCCTGGGCTGGGTAGGGGGCGCAGGGGACACCCAGGCACACACACACGGACACACGCTCAGGTGTGTGTGCTCTGGCAAGGCCACTCGGTGTCCCCACCGCTCTCTCCGGCACGCGAATCGGCCCGGAACGGGAGCCAGGACTTACCGCCAGGACGCCCTGGGCCAGGAGCCCCACTGTCACAGCTCCCAGCAGTAGCCACCTGGATGGGAGAGGGGGGAAGAGCGCCATGAGTGTGCGGCCCAGGCTTGGAAATTCCAAAAAGCACACGCGCGCGGGACCCAGGGGACAGGCAGCAAGACGCTTACCGCCGCAGGGCAGGGCGCGACGCCGCGCGCTGGTCTCGGTCCATGCTCCCAGTTCGGCCCCTCGGGGCTCCGATCCGTCCCTCCTAGCCTGGAAGACGAGACAATGCGGGCTTAGCCCGGCTGGGGAGGGAGCCTCGTCGCCGCCCGCCTCCGTCTGCGGGACAAGGGAAAGCGGGGCGCGTCCCCGCCTCTTGCCGGGGGTGACCGGGAGCCGCCCCGCGACGAGGCAGGGGAGAAGGCAGCCGGCTGCTCACCTAGGCCCGGATGGGGCCGCTCAGCAGCGGCCGCTCCACCCTCTCTCCCTTCCCACTCCGAGAGCCGGGCGCGCAGCCCGAGCTGCACGGGGCGCGCGAGTCCCTGCCCTCCGCCCGGGGCTCGGCGTCCCAGGGCCGCTCTTACCTCGGGCCCGGCTTCAGTGGCTGCCGCCCGCGCGTCTCCGCCCTCCAGAAGCGCCGCCTGCGGCACGAGCAGCGCAGCCGCTCTCCCGGCCTCCCCTGGCCGACCTCGGGCCCGCGCGTCCGCCCTCGGAGCTCCACCGGGTCGGCGAACGCGGGGCGCGGGGCGGGCAGCGGCGGCGGTGGGTACAGAGCGCGGATCCCTGCGTCCCGGCGCGCGGCGGCCACAATCCCCCGGCCGCGCGCTCCTGCCGCCTCTTACCCGCGCCGAAGGGTCCTCCCCCTTTGAGGCGCCGCCCGCCCCGCGCCGCCGAGGGGAGGGGCAGCGCCAACAAATTGGGGAGCTCGCCTGGTCGCGCTCAGGTCTCCGCCGCGAGCTGCCGCGCCCGGGACGGTGCGCCGCGCTCGAGTCCCGGCCCTGCGAGAGTGAGCCACACGCCGCCGCCCCCAAGAGCCCGGGCGCCGGCCCCCGCCGTCCGCCGCCGGCCCACGCCGCCCCGGGCGCGCCACCATGGGGCCCCGGCTCGGCGTCTGGCTGCTGCTGCCCACCGCCCTCCTGCTCCACGAGGAGAGCAGCCGGGCCGCCGCGAAGGTGAGTCCCGGCCGGCTCGGCTCCCGGCGTCCCGCCCCGAGCCCCGTCGCCCCGCGCGGCCCCTTTGTCCCCAGCCGGAGCCGCCCTCCGGGCCCGGGGGTCGCGCGCGGCACAACCGGGCGCACTCTCGCGGCCGGTCCTCGCCGGTGACCCCCTGGGGTGCGATCGCGCATCCATTAGGGAGCCTCCTTTGTTGTGGGCTGGGTAGGGGCGAGTCAGGGGACTCCTCGGGGCCGGGGGCGGGCGAGCAGAACTTGGTGCGCCCCGCGCGGGGTGAGGGTGCCCGGGAGTCAGGGGGATTTGAACTCGCACCTCGGGGGCGCCTGGCCGTCGGGCGCCTTCACCTGCCCTGGGCGCCCGAGTGGGCCGGGGGCCGGAGGGCTGGACACGCGCGCCCCGTGCTGTTCGGAGCCCCACACATGTGCCCGGGAGTCGCTTTGGGCGTGTTTCTCTGGAGCTTTGGAGACTCTGGTGGTTGATGCTGAACAGTCCTGGGCCGTTTGCCTGGAAACAGCTGTATCTTTGCTTTCCCACGACTTTGCTGTCGCTGCAGCACGCTAAGGGACAGCAGAGGAGCTTTTCTGTCGTGCAGCTTTCAAACGTTTCCATACTCGACTCGATGACTTTTACTAATATAGTAAGAAAATTATAACCACATTATGTTTGAGTGTGAAACCAAAATGAAACTGCATCTCATTGTTCTGTGCACAGATCGTTTCCCTAGTTTTCATTTCCTCCGGCTGTGCGCTTGCCCGGAAAGGATCTGGGAGTTCGGTTTGCACAAGTAAAGGCGTCCAGCTCTAGACGGTCCCTGATGTACTGGTGCTCTTTGCTTTTTTCCTTCCCCTCAGAGGGAGTAAAAACCTCAGCTGTTTCCCAGTGTCACAGCCTTGTAGACAAAACCCTGGGAAGGTGTGCCTTCTCAACACATTTTGCATCCCCCCTCCCCAGATATTTAAAAATGATGTTACTACTTTCGGCATTTCCCACTTACTCTTGTTTCACATCCTGATTTTGCTTAGTTTTTTGTTTTGTTTGTTTTTTGTTCTTTTCTTCTCTTCAGGAAGAATGATGCTCACTGACTTCAGTTAATTGTATATAAATTATTAACTGTTACTTGCCAGAATCAACTGGTGATATGCATACATGTCTTGCAGTTGAGAGTCTGGCTCTTGGCTGGCAGCTGTGTCACTAGGTATGGAAAGGCCTAATGATGACACAAGCAGTTAACTTCAGCCCAGAGTCTAGCCAGGCACCCTAGTCGGTTATTTAAACACTCTGTGGTCATGATGACAAAATACTTCCAAAAGAGGTGGCTCTAGAGCACTTGATTTGGGTCTAGAACCATTGACCCAAAGATTTACAATTTCCAAGGAGAGACGGCAAGGAAATGAGAGAAGGGCCTCTATTTGGAAATACGAAGCTCTGGACTTGGATTTTCTGATCGATAATATTAGCAAAGCAAAGCCAATTATGAGAGCTGGCTTTTCAAATAGCCAGGGCTTTGAAGAATGAGCCACTCAGTGGGTGGGAAATCAAACTCATTACTGTTGAGTTTGGGCTTATTTTACTTTCCTTGTACGACCCTGTCCTGGCTCTGCTGTATCCTTCAAATCTCATGTAATGTTTTAAGAGATCTGGCACGTGGACACCCTCTGATCACCAGTTGGCTTAATGGGTATTATCATTTTGCCATGTTTTCCCTGGTTTATTCAGAGAGAGAAAATTTATTAATATGAACATGACTTATGGCTGTATAAGAAAATCCATTTAAAATAATATCTGGCTAATTTTAAAATTTGTCTCACTTTTCACACCATCAGTGACATTTTTTTTTTTTTTTTGCTTACCTCCTTCCAAAATCAGCTGTTAGGGATACCAAAAAGTTGAAATAATTTCCATATTGACTCAAGCAGAATATCATTTAAAAATGCATTTTAAATGATAAGATGCTGCCAGTCAATCAAATCCTAATTCAGAAGCCAATAAAAATGATTCTTGGATTACCTGCTTTTTTGGAGTATCTGAATCTGTGTTACGTGCATTGGTACACCCAAATGTCACCTACTAGGTGCCAGGCAGACATTGTACTTACTATTATTGTTATTCACATGAAAGGCTGTTTGATTTTATATTTGATCATATCTGCTGTGGCCATACTGTTCATTTACCAGTGGGTGGATTTTCTAAGCCAGTAATTTTTTTTCCTACCCCCCCTCCCCTCCCCAACTTTGCTTTCTTTGGCAAGGAAGGAGGAATAGGGTGCAGACCTAAGACAAAAATGTGCCCATAGTGTTATGATTGAGGGTCCTCGGTTCTGACTCACGCAGTCACTAGCTGAATGAATTCTTCCTCCTGCAGCCTCCGGACTCCCCCCTCCAGCTGGTCTGTATGATGCCTTCTTTACAAATTATTTTTCAGGATCAGAAACGTGAACTTTCGCCAAAGTGTGGTGATGCCTGAGTAGGGGTGTTGGCATCTCCAGACCATTAGTCACCATTCTGAGACTGAATGACCTAGAACTCAAACGGATGCTTAATTCTGATATGAATGTGGACCACGTTCTGCTGGGAATGTCATTTCAGAGAGAAGGCTGATTTTTGACTGAGTACCAGGGGCAGCAGCATAAGCTCAGTATTCAGGAGTGAGCTTGGTGAAGATATAACCTAAATCATCGTGTTCTTCATGCATGGAGCTGGATGGGGCTGAAGGGGAGAGCACCTCTGATACCAGCCAGGAGAAACAGTGTGCCTAGCCTGTGTGTATGAGTGTACACTTAGAGAATTATTAGTGTGTGTGTTAATGGTGTCACACACACACACACACAGAACAAGTGTGGTTTAGAGACTGGAGGATCCTAAATGTTCTTTCTGATCTGATTAATCAGGTGATTTCAGAGGACTTGGTAACCCCCTGCCTCAATTTCCCTAGCGGATCTGCTCCCCCACCCCCCCATCCATCCTTCCTGCTTTCATCCCACACATGCGCCTTGAGCACATCTTCAGGCCACACCCCCCGCCAGGCCGTGCATCAGTGAGTGGGGCCCACCCTCCTCCCCCAGGAAGGCTGTGGTCTCCTGAGAAGTGCTGAGAAACAGGCAGATACAACTCAGGCTGGTAAACGCTACAGTCAGGGTAAACCTAGGGCCATAGGAGCACCTAACCTAGCTTTGGGGAGCTCAGAGGAAACTTCCAGGAGGATATCCCACCTCTGACTCTGAGGAAGGAATGGGAGCTATAGACCTGGCGTCTTGTTTCATATGAATTGTCATGTGCATCATACTCAGAAGGTTGCATAGTTCTTCCTGTGCCCTTTCACACATCAGGCTGTCTTTGCATGTAAAGAAGACCTTAAGGTTCCCTCCTTCGAGGTACCAAGGTGCCATTGCTTGTATGACTAATAGGCGTGATATCTGAGCTTTCCCCTGGGAGGGGTGGAGACACAAGGAGGTCTAGGAGAGCGGCGATAAGACCGCAGCCCAACCAAAGGCCCCCTCCGGAGGTGGCAGGTGGATTGGGATGTCTGCAGAGTTATAGCACGGATGACTGATTGTAGGCGGGAGTGCCTTTAGGAGCTGACCGAGAACACCTCCCCTCACGGGGGCAAGGGCATGGGGGAATTCACAAAAGCCTGCATTATCCATTAACAGGACTGTCTTCAGATTTCTTGGAACTGGGGAGGATGGCCATCACTGAACAAGTGTGGTTATCTAGTTTAGAACTGGTAGAGATTTTGCAGACAAACTGAACCCACAAGTGACCCGCTGAAACAAATCCTTTTAGAGATGGAGGGGGCATCAGTCAGTGAATAATTTACAGCACTTGTCTTGATGAGGTATACGATGTTTGTTCTAGCAACGGTTCCAGAAACTGGACAAGCATTAGCCTCATTAAAATGTCTCTCAGGCAGATTGGGTATTTTGAGTTCTTGGGCTCAAATAAGCAAAAGCAACAATAGAACGCCTAAAATAATATCATCAGAGCATTGTTCTTCTGCTGTTATTAAACAACCACTAAGAAATGTCAGCTATAGAACAATACAAAAGACATATTCCTCCCATTCTTGTGCGCACAATGACAGAGATGTGAACCAGAAAATGGTTCAATCGTCAGTTTCTTTTGAGGAGTTTACCGCTTGAAGAATGACTCTGGGGTTATAGCATTTTATAGTCTGGCACACGGGGACCGGTTCCGTCCTGTATTTCCCTCCATTGTTCTCCTGGTCTTAGTCCTGTGACATCAGTCTTTCTTGGGGTCCTTTCTGTTTCTCTGTTCTTCCTCTTCCAGAGCCCTCAGGGTGGGTGGGCCCCGGGGCTGGGCTCCAGCAGGCTTCTCTTTCTCTCCACCCTCCCCACTCCGTTGATTTGTCAGCATTCCGTGAAGGGGACTCCAAACCTTTCTCTTGAACCCCAGTCTGGTCTCCTCACGTTCGCCTGGAACATCTCACCTCCGCTGTCCTGCTTTGATTGCAGACTTAGCAAATATGTCCAGAACCGAGCTTTCCATCTTTCACCAACCGACTCCCCTGCTTCCCAAGTGGCCCGTTTTGGTCGTTGATGCCCCAGTATTACGTGATGCTCAACCCAGAGACCGTGGCTTCATGTGGAGGCCTCACCCTTCCCTCCTTTTTAACCTTCACGTCACCCAGGCACTCGTTCCACCCTTCCTCCTTCTACCTGTCCCTCAGATCCCCCTTGGCCGTCTCTTCCCATGGCTGCGACACCATTCCAGGTGTACTCGCCCTGTGCCAGGATCGCCGTGAATCCCTCCCGCTCCTGCCCCACTTTCAGCCTTGTCTTCTCCCCAGCCCATTCCTCACGTTGTCCTGCGTCTGTCTTCAGAGATCCCGCTATGACCACGTGATTCCTCTGCGCAGCATCTGACAGTGGCTACCTCCTGTCTGACTAAAAGTCTCCAACTCTTTGGCTGGGTGGTTTTCATTTGTTCATTTTTAATAAAGACTTTATTGTTCAGGGCAGTTTCAGGGTCAAGGCGAAATTG